ATGAAAAAACATCAGAAATGGTCCTTGTGGTTACCCAAAATCTGAAGTTTAGTCCCCGTGGTTTAAAAACCTCATAGATGGTCCATGTGTTTTCAAAACTTTTGACGATTGGTCCTTATTGCTAACTCCGTTAACTTTTGTCCGTTAATTGAGGAGCATTTTCGTCATTTCACACCACAGGGACCATTTATGATCTTTTCAGTTATTTTTTAAAAAAAGAAAAAACTAAATATAAATATTTAATATATAAATCTCTCTCTCTCTCTCTCTCTCTCTCTCTCCACTGGTTCAATCAGTTTCATCCTCATTCCCAATCTTATGCTTCACTCCTCTATTGTCAAACTCGAATTCCATCCCAATCTTACCGTGAGCGATGGTACGCCCTCCACCGTGCCTTCCTCTGAAACCCTGGGACACGGTGGCTGAGAAGGTAACGACATCATGCCCGGATGTAACCCCGCCGAAGACCTCCGCCCAGTGCCACCACAAGATGGAGAAGCTCTGCCAGCGCCACCGCGCCGAAAAGCAGCGCGCGTCGTCCTTCCTTGGTGGTCGGTTCTTCTCGTCGTGGTTCTACTTTGAAGCCATTGAGGCCATGGAAAATGGACCCAGTTCCGAAACTGTTAACAATAATTTGACAAATCTTGAAATCAACAACGCAACCCCTGTGTCGGATCATCAGAGCTTGAATCCGGGTCGTGGAATTCAATTTAAACCTTCTTCTGTTCAAAATCTGGTAACATTAGCAGCTAGTTCCACCAATCATACTCCTGATTTCGATTCCAGGTTTTCAAATCACAATTCCTCATACACAAATTTGTTTCAGGGGAACCATCAAAACGGCAACAGTTGGAATCCAAATTCGAATCAGGGAAAAAAAAAGAGGGAATGGAGGGATATAGGAGGTGGCTTCTTCGATTAAGCTATTAGGAGATGGGTTCATGAAGATGGAGAAGATGAAGATAGACATGGCTGGGGAGATTGAAAGGATGTGAATGGAGACAGAGATGAAACGAAACCAATTGATATTGGAGTCACAGAAGCAGATTGTGGATGCGTTCTTGAAGGGTTTGATTGAAACCAGGAAGCAGCCAAGAACAGAAACAATGGAGGATTAGTAGCTTCTGATAATGTGATTAGTTATTGTTTTCAGTAATGTGTTTTTAGTTGAGATTAAGATAGTTTTCCTTAAAACCTCGTTACATGTAAAACTCTTGCACATTATAAATCACTCCTTTTCACATATAATAAAATCAAAAAGCCTTGTCCAATTGACGTTCCATGGAGGAGATATCTCATGAAAAAGCAAACAAAGTAACCTAAATACAATTTATATATCAACAAAAATTAACTTGTTAAAGCAACTGAACAGCAAACCAGCCATGTATACGAGCAGAAGTTTTGAGATGTTTTGTGGTTATAAACAGGTTTGTGTATATCAGAAGTAATTTTGTTTGCTTGCTTGCTGAGAGAGAGAGAGATTTTATATATTTAGTTTTTTCTTTTTTTAAAAGAATAACTGAAAAGATCATAAATGGTCCCTGTAGTGTGAAATGACGAAAATGCCCCTCAATTAACGGACAAAAGTTAACGGAGTTAGCAATAAGGACCAATCGTCAAAAGTTTTGAAAACACAGGGACCATCTATGTGGTTTTTAAACCACGGGGACTAAACTTCAGATTTTGGGTAACCACAGGGACCATTTATGATGTTTTTTCTATGTTTATATATGTTTTTGTACGTATGAATAGATTTTATATGTATGAAAAAAAAAATTATAAGTATATTATTATATGTATTAAAAAAACGTATTTATATATTTAAAATCGTATTTTTCTGTATATATACGTATATTTATGTGTACTAAAAATGTTTTTATATGATAAATAAAATTTTATATGTTTATATATACAAATAAATACGGTTTTAAATATGTATAATATACGTATAAAAACTTTTTTCAAAACATATATAAACATATAAAATTTGATTTATCATATAAAAACATTTTTAGTACACATAAATACGTATATATACATAAAAATACGATTTTAAATATATAAATACATTTTTTAATACATATAATATCAATATTTGTTTTTTTAAATTGTTGCTTTAAATACGTTTTTTTAATACATATAAATACTTGCTTTAAATACATTTTTTAATACATATAATAATAATACATATAAAATTTTATTTATCATATAAAAACATCATATAAAAATACGATTTTAAATATATAAATACATTTTTTTAATCATAAATAATAATAATAATAATAATAATAATAATAATAATAATAGTAATACATATTATTAAATTGTTGTTGTGTAATAGACATTAAATAATTTCTGTTAGGATATAAGAACCAAAGTCATATTAGCCTAGTGGTAGGAGTGTTGCATTTGTAGTTGGAGGGTCGTGGGTTTGAAACCCACCTGCTCCTTTTTTCTCTTTATTTTTTCTCTTGAAGAAGGAAATCAGCCACTCCTTTTTTCTCTTGAAGAAGGAAATCAGCAATGATGACGTGGGCTTGCCACATCAACTCAAAGTCAACATCTCTTCCCAGTCAACAAAGGGGTAACCGGCTTTAGAAGGTAAAAAACGGTTAGGGGGCAAAACAGAACATATTTCCCGGTAATTAAGGCATTAATGCACCAAAAATCTGACTTTGGGCATAACTAAACATTTTGTGTAAAATTAAGGGCTTTTATAGCAAAAACCCTTCTAAAACATGAAAATGTTGTGTTTTAAATATTTGTTTTTATAAATTTGTAAAGAAACCTAAGCTATAAAAAATTTGGAAAAAAAAGTTGTATAAAAAGTAATTTTATAAATAGACTACTTTTTATAAACAAATTTGTAACATTCAGTTGTATAAAAGTTGTAAAATACAGTTGTAAACAAATACTTTTTGTTTAAAAATACTACGATTTTAAAAAACATGTAAAAATTTGTATAGAACTTTGGAAAAAATTTATATAATTTTTTTTTGACCAAAAACAATAATAAAAGTTAAAACTTGGACTAAAATTGTAAAATATTGTTATTACCTTTTGATTTAATCAAGTGTGTAAATTTATGTTTCAGTGACATTTGAAATAATATGTTTACATTACTTTGGTGTTAACCCCATCAAAATAGTTCAATAATAAGTATTGTACAAATTTGGACCATATGACAGTCATTGTCGAATGCGTCACAAAACCTATAATATGAGGATAAAAGGCTAAGCGGAGTGCTCAACGCGTAGGAGCTAGCCACATTAACCAGACACCCTTCCACATGACACATCGGGTTTGAGAAATGGTGTCCACTACATACTCACTAAGATGTTGTTTGTTTTTTAAAAAAAACCACTTCAGACCACTTATTGTTGCGCCGCGCAGCACACGCGCAGCACTTGGCCTTTCGTAACTGTTTGTTTTCCTGAAGACTTCTGACTTAAAAACTGCTGCGTGTGTGCTGCGTGGCGCATCACTAAACCAACTGCTTCAAACCTCTTCGCGCCTTACTTTAACTTAGTACAGCAGTCTGCAGACGTTAAAAAACAAACAGACTTTTTATTAAATGCTGCAGCCTTTTGTTCCATATCTTCTGCTACAGAGGATTGCAGAGGTGGTCCGCAGACTTAAGACATTTTTGCTTCGAAAAAACAAACAGCACCTAAGAGGAAAAGAGAGATAGAGGGGGGAAGAAGAGCAAGATTAAGAAAGGAAGTTTCTCTCTATGGTGTGATTGTCCATAGCCCAACCCATGCCAACTCACTCCACTTGCATCTCATTATGAATAGAAAATGGTGTTTCATCGATGATTTGATTGATACATCAATCTTATGGACCACTCCGTTAACCTAGATGGTAAAACACTAATAATAATTTGTATATACCAGAGTTTGAAATTTGACTCTCATATGTGGAATTTCACATTACAACAACTTAGTTTACATCATAAAGTTGATATGATTATATGATTATATCTACTTAGTTTGAGTACAAATTGATTATTTTAAAAGAACAATAAATTGAGACCATTAGATTTTCTCATTAATCTGAATAAAAAATATCTTACTTATAATAACTTTTTCAAAAGTAAAATACAATTTTTGTCCTTGTGGTTTGTTCAATTCATTATTTTTGGTTTTAGTATTGTGATTTGATCATGGAAGATCTTTATTGAACTATTTGGTATCACCTTTGGTCTATGGGTTCGTTATCCTCAGTTAAGCTAGTTAAGCTCTGTTACTAACACCGTAAAAAGATTTTCTTACCCATAGACTAAACTTGATAAAAGTTATAAATTACAAGGACTACTATGTAAAAGCTATAAATCACAAACAGGTTTGAAGAAAAACGGGAAAAAGGAGGAAAGGATGTAAGTGGCTTGAGACTCTATCTGAAATACAAAATCATGTTTACATTTTGGTTAAGTTTAGTATCCCCGATATATGTATACTCTATATTTTTGTTATGACAAGTTCAAGGTATAGAAAATTTTCAGGAGATTGATGTTCTTGTAACTTGTACATAATGTATTTAAAGTTGGATTAGATTTGAAGAAACTCATGTCAAAATTAACATAAATTTCTAATGATAACATTTGGGTCTCTCCAATTATGCTCCAAGATCTTGTCTTTGCATGCTTTGTTTGGGGCTGGTGGTGATGGTGGTAATGATTGGTTATGGTGGTTTGCTGTTCGTTTTTTAAGATTTAGACTTTTTACAGAAATGGTCCCTCTAGTGTGTTTGTATTGTTTGTTGATGTAGTATGAGGGCAATATTGTCTTTTTCAAAAATTTAACCGCCTTGTTAGTCTGGTTAGGTACAGTAACCAAAGATGATATCAAACAGTGTAATAGGAACCTTTCATGATCAAATCACAATACCAGGACAAAAAATATGATTTGGGTAAACCACAGGGACCAAAACTGTATTTTACTCAAAAATGTAAAACAGGCATATATTTTTAAATATCAAATTTGAACTCTACTGATCATCGTCGTCATCACTAAGACATTTCCCTCTGCATACAGTGACACAGACGTCGGAGCAACAATGGCGGCGTCGGTGGTAGTCGCGTTGAAGACGCTGTTTATATTATTAGCTTTGACGATGACAGCTCTAGCTGTTTGGGCAATCGGCACGCATGGTCTCGCTGCTTGTGTTGACCTAACTTCAAGGTAAGTCACGAGCTTAAATTACAGATGTTGGAGATTTGTTTTTCCTTTGGAAAATTGAACACATAATTATATAACTGTAATTTCTGTATCCATGAAAATGTAATTTCTTCTCTACTTTATTACTTTTCTGTTAATTGCAGGTGGTTGGTAGTGACACTGATAAACTTCTACATAAATCTTGGTGTTATACTGGTAAGAAAGTTCATTTCAGTTACATGAACTTACAAGGCTAAGTTTGTTGTTTGTTTCCATCATTTTGAACTCTGAATCTGTTCTATCTACAAAAATCCCTCTGTATTCAGACTTCAGAGTAATATTTGGATTAATATATATTCTTCTCTTCTTTACTTGTTGAATTAACTGGACTCATATGTGGTTGTATATATACTTGCAATCTTAGGCTTGGATGGTCTACAAGGAATCAAGCTGGATCAAGGCAGCTGTATTGATACCTGTTGTACTTTTTGCAGGAAGGTAATTAAACTTTATTATTATTATTAATTACAAGTGTAACATGTTTTGAGTAAATTTTCATTCCTTCTACAGCCCTATTACAAGTGCATACGTGGCTCTGCAGTTCTTTAAGTTGTCACCAGAAGAATCATCAAAGGATCCATTATATTTTGTGTTGGTGAGACATCAAAAAAAGTAAGAATCACCCTTTACATAATTACATAATTACATTACATGATATCTTTCGAGGGACATGTCTAATAATGATAAAAAAAAAAAATTAAAATTCAGTAAAAGTGTTTGCTAACATGGTTGTAATTTTATTATATATTTGGCTTATATAGGGATGCCATGGGATACAAGAGGGGACATTCTGTTTTAATTGCAAAAATAATCATTTGTGCACTAGGCTGCTTGATGCTGGGAACTTTTATTTATGTGCTTATTGTTGATGGATCTCCATTCAATGCCAGTGTATTATCAAGGTACCATTTAAAATTTCCCTTTTATTTAATTTATGTAAAAAAGTGTAATAGTAAATGCTCATATATAGTTGTAAATGCTCACAGGTGCATGATAGCAACAACAACCGATGTCTATTTCTGTATTGTCACTGTAGCAGTAAGTATTCGTTTATCATATTAGTGAAAAAAGAGCTTTTTCGACTTTTGTTATAACAAGAATGTTTGATTGCTTGTTTTGATCAGGTGTGGATTGCATATAAGGAATCAAGTTGGATAAGTGCTTTCTTTTGGATACTTTCACTTTTATGTTTTGGAGGGTAAGCATATATGGAAACTAACTCACTTTCTTTTTGTCACTCTCACGAGTATATAACTATATATGGAAAGTCAACTTTATTTGCTTTTTAACATTATTAGCTTCTCAAAATGATTTAGGTTTCTCAACATTTATATCATTTTTTGTTACGTTCTTATGCCTTGATATAACTATTTCACAGCATTGCTACATGTGTATACATATTGCGGGAGTTGTTTTACCTTTCACCTCAGCAACCACTTTCCGCCATACTTTTCAACAATAGTAACAAGTAAGTCTTGCTAAGAGAAGTGATTAATATACTGTACATGTACATGCTTCTGAACGATTATATACAAGCACTCATATTACATCATATAAATTGTTGTTGTTTTGGTTAAAATTTTGTTTTGAGTGTTTTTTGATGTCTTTTGAATCTTACAGAGACTTGTTGTCAAGTGATCCACTGTTGATGGCGCATACCAATGTATAATCAGGGTCTGCAGCAGTTTGTTTTTTCCAAGTGTATCTTTTTATGATTTCAAGAAAGATGAAATTTTCTGAACATGATGTTGTTTGAATTAATAAGTTCAGTAAAAAACTTTGTTCGCCTTTGATCGGGTTAACTGCATCCTGGCGTTGAGCAAATTGAAGCTTGATTCAATGTTAATTGATCCAATAGTACTGTATTCCGACAATATTAGATGTTATATTTGTTTACTTCAAATTATAATGTGGTTCAACTAATGGATGAATTTCTAATCCGAAAATTATCATTGAGTGTCAAAATAGTAGACTACCTCCTCTTCGATATATGAAAGCAACATATAATTAAAATGTATGATATATAGCTAAATTATGGAGATGAATTAAGTTTCATTGCCTTTTATTTGTTTTCACAAAGGGGAAGTGGTGTGAGGATAGAACCCAGAAATTATTCAGATGGGAGCAAAAAGAAATCCCAATGGCAGGCATTAATCCAATCGTTTTTCCAAAACAGCTTTGGATTGATAGTAGTAATGAAGCTTACAAAAATTTGTGTTCTTAATACCAAGGGAATTTTGTATATGTCCTTAAATAAGGGTAAAATATCATATTTATCCATCTTAATATCTAACTATCATATTTGCTTAAATCTTGTTTTTTTTACATATTTTTAAACATTTTATATTTTTTTATAATTTAAAATCATTTAGTTATTAAAAAGAATTAAATGAACCATAGTATCCCTGCTTCTTAGTATTGTTAGTATTGGAAAGCTTTGAATAAGATGAATAACACGCACACAAAACGTCCACATCAACCCTAGCAGAAGAGAGGACCATCGGTCGGTTTACCTGTGTCCACCATAGCCGTTGACATCACCCTCCGCCATTGAAAGTCATCGCTCAAACTTCATCGCCCGCATTGTCCCTACGCGTCTTAGTGTGCCGGTTCAAGATGTTACTTTCTCGCATCCATTCAAAGTTGGTGATTCTTAGATGGTGTTTTTTTTTTCAAAAGCTTTTTTTGAGCACTTATGTCTTCGGGCAGAAAGACAGTTACATCTGCACGTTCTTGCTGAGTGTTTGTTTTTTAGAAGACCGTAAACGTCAAAACGTTTGTACGTCATCTTCTCCAAAAAGATATGAACCAAAGTTTGAGACGGGAAGACATTTTTCGCATACATCTTTTAGTCAAAAAGAGAATAACAAAATATATAACTTGAAAATTTAGATCACACTTTTCTTTCAAAAAATTAGCTATTACACTTTTATTTTTATTTTTTGCCAAGTAAAAAATAAACAAAATTTTAGTAAAATAATATTTTCCAAAAATATTACAACGTTTATTTTCATCTAGGCAATACATATCTCTAAAATTTGTATCAGGCTTTAAATTTTTTATTTAGATAGTAAATAATCTTCCATTTCCGTTTCTAATAAATCATTATTGATGTTAATTCCACTAATCTAAGTTTGATTCTTTACATATAATATAATTTTGTTACTAAATGACAAAATGGGTTCAAATATACCATTAAAACTTTGACGTTTATAAACTTTTGTCTATGGTCACAAAATTTTAGTAAAATAATATTTTCCAAAAATATTACAACGTTTATTTTCATCTAGGCAATACATATCTCTAAAATTTGTATCAGGCTTTAAATTTTTTATTTAGATAGTAAATAATCTTCCATTTCCGTTTCTAATAAATCATTATTGATGTTAATTCCACTAATCTAAGTTTGATTCTTTACATATAATATAATTTTGTTACTAAATGACAAAATGGGTTCAAATATACCATTAAAACTTTGAAGTTTATAAACTTTTGTCTATGGTCACAAAATTGAATTTGCGGTTCATTTTGTTTCAACTATACCAACATATCCATACTTTTAAAATCATCAAACCTGATAAACTTAGGATAATTTGATCACCGATCATCAATGGAATAGTTTGTTAATATAACTTTGATAATTTTATGTAAATACATTCACTACTAGAAACAGAGGTATCAGCGACAGACAACTCCGTCGTTAATCCGTCGCTGAAGGCCATCAGTGACGGATTAGCGACGGAATTTGGTAGTCGAAAAACCCTTGTCGCTAATTGGCAGCGACGGATTAGCAACAGATTAGCGACGGATTCACGGTGCCACAAATTGCTCAAGGAACCTCTGGATTCCGTCGCTAATCCGTCGTTGATGTCTGTCGCTAATCCGTCGCTGATGAGTTCTTTAGCTACAAAATAACTTTTCGGGAAAACTCAGATAACCAATGGATTCTCACATTTCCGTCGCTGATTATCAATATATCATTAGTTTTGATGTTCTGATCTACAACCATAATTTACAAAATAAATTTAATATATATAATAAACTAAAATAAAATTCAACTACTAAATTAAATATTAATATTTGACTAGGTAAATGAAGATTAATATTCGATTTCAAATTATTGATACCAAATCACATTCAAAGTATTGAAACTAAATCACAAAAATCAAATGTCAAAGTCTAAATCGATTTCAAAGTATTGAAACCAAATTACAAAAAATGAAGTGTGAAAGTCTAATTAGTCGGGCAGGTTACTTCCTTGGGTGAATCAAGTGTGAATGTCGTTATAAATATTGATAATTTCTTGTTTTTTGGCCTCAATTTTTCACGTTCCGCCCTAAGCTCATCCTTTATCTCCTACTGGCCAACAATAACCTACAAAGAAAACAATTTGTAAAAATGCTTTACGTAAGTTTTAAAATTTGTTTTCTTATTAGAGTTTTGAACTTTGAGAGCAGAGTGATATAAATATGTAGCTTTTCAAAGTATAATGTTTGTTTTGTATTTCTATTTATAGGTGGGATTATGTGTGTGTGTATTGGTCTAATAAAATCAATAATTAAAAGTATATTGCTATAAATGAATAAAGAGTAAAGAAGCTAGCAGTTATAACATTTCTGCCACATGCACATATTCTGCAATAAACATAAAACAACAAACTTTAAAATGAAAATTGTTTAGGATATGAAAAACAGAAAGTAATCAACCTATAGAGCATGGTAAAGTCTTCTTTGTTCATTTATGATCCTGAACCAACCAGACTTCCATCAACCCAAAAAAATGGTAAAGAATAAAACTTACTTAGTGACAGAGCAAGAATATAAGTTCTAGAGATGCAACCAAATCTAACCATTCTTTGGGCTGCATAATGGAAAACAGAAAATACATTAATACTCACTTGCACTTGACTAAAATTCATCATAGATTCAAAAAAGAACAATTAACAATTTAAAATACAAACGATTGCTTTTGTTTTATTTAAATTAGTCAAGAAATTAAAAGTTAGAGTTTACCTTAGAGAAAATGAAGAGGCGTGGGAGTGGAAGAGTTTTATTTATACTAGTCAACTCCCGGGGGTGTCCATGCACCACACTGCATCTGCCACTGATGGTAATGAATTTTCAATACCGCTCCAGGATAGCAATGTACTTCTAAGTCAGAAATACATTGCTATTATGGAGTGGATACTGAAAGTTTGTGGCCATTTTCTACATGCTTAGTCTTGACGTTACCTGATCATGTAGCCGCTCCTCTCGCGGGTTGACTTTTACCTTTTTTATGTTTTATAAAAAGTATTTATTGATGACATATTGAGAATGACTTAATGTTATGAACTTATAATGATTCATATTTCTTATATAGAAAAAAAAAACATTGCATTTTACTGGTAATTTTGGAAAAAAAAAATCATTATGATTTTATGGTAAAAAAGCCATTGCTTTTTGTTTTTTTATTTGGCTGATCCCAATTATAACTAAAATACAATTTCAAATCTTTAAAGCCTAAAATGCCATTATAAGGCAGATTTGTCCCGTGTATAGTGGGTATACCAAACACCAATCTTATTTCCAACATTTTTTATAAGGGCAAATATGTCCAAAACATTTTTTCTACATGTAAAACTAATATAAAAGCATCATGGGTACCAAATACCAATACTCATTCCAAAAATCAACAATAACATAAGGGAAAATATGTCCAAATTAACTCAAATATAAAAATCCATAAAAAAAATTGAGGGGTTGTACCTCCTGATATGGTCGCTTCTTGTTCTTCTTGAAGTTGTTCTGAGCAGAAAAATACTGAATATATGTAGAAACCAGAAAAAGAAAACTCACAATTTCGAGTGTACTCTGCAAATTCTGAGCAGCATCGTAAGCCAGGTTAAACAACAAGAACACCCAAATCAGAATATAAATTTATCTGTTATGAATAAGTGTTTGAGTTCCATTTTGATTCTCATCAACAATCGATGATTCTTCATCCGTGGCCATCTACTCACTCGACTAACGATTATCCTTAATATCTACAATATGAGACGCTGACTTTACAGAATCATAGATTTGGGGAATGTAGATTAGAATACTGTTGAAAGTGAATGTCGAAAACATCAAAATATACCTGGAATCATGGAGATTGGCAATGGAAACTCGAAGAACCCATAATGTGGTGTTTCAATTTCGTTGTCGACGCCTCTAAGAGAATCTGAGGTGTATTTAACGTCATGAATCGGCGCTATTGGGGGTGGTGGCGGCAGAAATTGGTGATGTTAGGGGTTATAGGTGGGGTGGCCAGAATCGACGGTGTTGGAGGTAAGGAGTGGCGGGTTGAAATTAGGGTAAGAGAACGGCGAGTTGAAATTAGGGTAAGATATTTTCAGAGGGAGAATTTGGGGGGGTGTATAGGGGGGAACGAAAATATTGAGAGGGAATTGAAAATTAGACAAAAAAAATGGGAGGGAACTGGAGATTAGCGACGGGTCTATCTATATTTTCGGAGTAGAATTTAGGTTTTAAGGAGCCATCTGATTTCCGTCGTTGATCCCTAGTAAATCCGTCGCTGATTAGCTACAGATATTTTCCCTCGCTGATTCCGTCGCTGATACCTTATTTTCTAGTAGTGATTCCTAACAAATGTTAAAAAATTTCAAGTTATAATTATACTCTTTGTTGCAGTTTAATGAAATTCGGTTATTGCAATATGGTAATAAAAAATTATTATAAGATGCATCCTTGATATATAAAATAACATCATCTAATAATATTACTAAGGGTAAAATGCAATAAAGTTACTAAATTAATCAAAAATTTTGATTTTGTGTAACGCCCCGATTCTCAGGTATTGTTTAAATAAGAATTTAATTGGTTTCAAGGCCTACTCGACGAGTTGGTTGCCCTACTCGTCGAGTAGCAGCGGGTTGGTTCGCGTATTTAGTGGCCTACTAGCCGAGTCCAAGAAGGGACTCGACGAGTAGGAGCTGGCAGATGAAACCCTAAATCCCGGGGTTTTGCACCCTATTTAAAGAAGCATAAGCCTCCTTTGGCCTCTTTGCAGTCCATTGAGAGTCCAGAAGAACCCTAACTCGAGTGTGTGTGTATTCTTTGGAAATTTAAGCTTGGAGGAAGATTCTTGGTGAATGAATCTCTTGGGAAGCAAGCTAGTTGAAGCAAGAGCTTGGGGGTTTCAAGTTCTTCATCAGAAAGGGCTCTCTTGAAGGTATTAAATCGTTTTTCCCTTGGCTCATTTTCTCCTAAACCCCTTTTGTGCACTAGTTTAGGAAAGGATTCTTGTGTCTAAGCCAAGATCTGAAGTTGTCACTTCAGATCTGGACTCCCCTCGGCTTCTAGATTCATAAAGCCATCAGCCTTGTCTAGTATGAGCCTTCTCTCAAGGATGTGACTTCATTGCAAGCTTAGTTGTGCCATTTTAGGGTCTTAAAGCCTTGCATGCACGTAAAGTTTGCAACTTTACGTGATAAGCATGCCTAAGGAAGTTGGATATACAATTTGGGGCATGGGCATGGCTTAGAAAGTGGCTGCATGGTTAAAGGGCTGAAGAGACTCGGCGAGTCATATGAAGATAGGCATTGAACTCGACGAGTTGGATAAACAACTCGGCGAGTCCGATGAAGATTGTCGTAGACTCGACGAGTGGATGAACAACTCGGCGAGTCGGTTGAGGTTTCCCCAATTTATGTATGCGTGTGCAACCATCGAGTTGCAAGAAGGAAAACTCGACGAGTGGATGAACAACTCGGCGAGTCGGTTGAGGTTTCCCCAATTTATGTATGCGTGTGCAACCGTCGAGTCGCAAGAAGGAAAACTCGACGAGTGGCCTTAGAGTTCCAATCGCGAGCCTTAGAACTCGACGAGTCGCTCCGGTGACTCGGCAAGTGGTCAGGTATTTCATGAAACTCGGCGAGTAGCTGAGGGTACTCGGCGAGTTAGGGTCAACATGGACTGTTGACCTTGACTGATGACTTTAACTTTGACCAAAGGCTGACTAGTTGACTGATGGGGTACCTTGAGAGGTTGAGAACTTACAGTATGGTTATACTATGGTAATAGGTGGTGGAGTTTGTGGCAGTGATCCGAGGGTTGAAGATTATCCACCGAGTCGACATCTGCAAGGTGAGTTATCCTAACTATATCAATAGGGTCTAAGGTGTAACGCCCGAGTTTCGGGGCTAAGCATTTTTAGACGATGTAATAGTCTAGGTCAACTATTGTAACTCTTTTGATGTAATAAAAATGAAATATTTGAGTATTTTGTGAATTTATGTGCTTATTATTTAATTATAAATGTATAATTAATAAAGAATAAAAATAAGCGTCAAAATTAAAATATGAGATAAGCCCGATATATTTACATAAAGTTGTAGTGGTCAAAACAAGGATTCCGGAGATATAAAGAACGCCGAAATCCGAGTTATAACGAAGAAGTTATGACCCGACGAAGTTTCACGACGGAACCGGCACGATATCGGGAAGCGTGAATAGTGAATTTATGATAAAGCGAGTTTTTAGCCGACACGACCTAAACGAGAATCGAAGAGCTCTTTAATTGTGGCGTAACAATAAAAAGACAGACGAAAACGGACGTCGGATGAAGAAGTTATGAATTTTTAACGGACCAATCCTGTCCCGGCCTGTTAAAAATATAACTTTTAAAATAAATTCAAAATTAGCCAACGGAGTCTAAACGAAAGTTGTAGATTACGTTCCCGCCTTCGCGTGGATATAAATAACGTCAAAAACGGAGCTCGTATGAGAGAGTTATGATTTTTCTAAGACGGGAGGCCGATACGCGATATTGGGTGACGTGGAACCACCAGAAATTGGACATGTGGCACCACCAGAAATTGGACATGTGACACCACCAGAATTTGGACAAGTGGCACCACCAGAAGGCCACCA